ATTCGTAAGAACAGTTGGGGTAAAGAAAAAATTTTTCGTTACTGAAATGGATCAATCGAATATATTAGATTCTGCACACGCATCAAAAAATGTATTTACTTGGCGAAAAGTAGATGACAACGGTGATAAATTCAATTGGCATGACATTAAATGGTTCAGATTTACCAAGGAATATGGTAACATATATTTTAAAACATCTTTAAGTGAAGAAGATCCTTTCAAATGCATCAATATAACAAAGCGAGGAATCAATTGCGTCAAAATAAAGGATTTAAAAATTTGCTACGTCTCACCAATAAAAATTAACACTAAAAAGAAAAGTGATCTCATAGACATGTTGCCGCTAGTGGATGAAATTTATAGAGACTTCTATATGAATTTAACATCAGAAGATATGTTAGATTGTCATCCAGATTTAACCGAATACGATGAAAATAACGAATAATTATTTATTTGGCAACAAAGTATTCCCAAACTTAATTGAAAAACTTGAATATTATTTGTTTACTTATTAAATACTATGAAATTATTATTATTTTAAATAAAGAAAGAAGAACTGAAAATGTATATTTGTAGTTTACATAGTTTTTGGTAAAGAAATAAATAAAACAAAAATCGTATCTCCATTTACTTACTTGTTTCAATTTTAACACAAGCTCTTATGTCCACTTATAAATTTTTGAACTCTTGTATCTCGTTCGTAACAAAATCTTAAGTCTAATTAAGGCATCTTTTTTTTTGTAATCTCGTTTTGCAAAACATCTTAAATACAAAACAACGAAAAAAACATACTTCTAAAGGAAATATTTCTCAAAATCAGTCTGCTTTGTCATAAAATATAGCGAAACTACATCTTGGGCTAAAGATATTTTCTAAAACTCCAAAGTAATAGATTTTACACAAAATCGTTAGTATCTCCAAATACGATTTTTAGACTTAAGATGTTATGATAAAACGACACAGATATGTACCAATTACAAATAATTTTAATAATCGGCTTTTTTAGCAATTAAAGAATACAGTTGAAATTTAATGAAGAAAGAAGAGAATTTCCGTTAAAAAAAAGAAGAAACGCAATATTTGAGTTTATGTATATGTATATATACATGTATGCGCATACATATATACATATAAGAAAATTGCCAGTCAGTTCAGTTCTCACTTTGATAACACTGTACAACAAAATCCAACTTTTCCCAAAATAACAAGGTTCATATCGTCACCTAAGGTTGAAAAGATACCCCAAGTCTATTTTTTTAAATTGTCCAGCAGAGACGAAAAGTCGATTTAGTTTCGTATTACCTGCCATTCAGCATCAAAAACTAAATTTTGAAAAAATGGACTTGGCACCTTTTCACCTTTATGTAGCGATATTTGTATTTATAAATACAGATATTACGTAGATATCTGTGGCTATAAGCAATAACCGCCTAATTCGACTTAAGAAAGAATTGAGTTATACTATATGCTGTCATATTCTGGAACTACTATTCCATGTGTATTGAAATCCCCTTCTCGCCAGCTAGGCTATTTAAAAAGTTACAGACGAACATATTTTGGTTTCCCGATAAGGTTAACATTACAATCCGAATCGAATTCAGGTTCTTCGTACATGGGCGGTTATTGCTTATGACCACAGATATGAGGCGTTGAGAGTAGAATTGCCAACATTTTTTAAGAAATTCATAGTAATTTTTCAAAAAAATCTGAAAAAATATAGTACACTTCAAATATACATATATAGTATTTTTTTAAAGAAGAAGTAAAAATGTTTTTTAAGTGTACATTTTTTTTCTTTCTTATGCATTTATTCCATAAAAATATATATTTCTATATATCAATATTTAAATTAATATAAATTAAAAGTTCATTTTTTATTAGTGAGATATTCGCTTTATTTCTCACATCACACCATTTCAAAATCTTAATAGAAAAAACTCTTTCTGTGAATGCCAAAGTTGCAGGAATAGAGAGCATAAGCGAAATAATTTTAAGTAAATTTGGTAAATCTTTCTAAGTGTTTCTGTGGACCCTTTGTTTTAGAGTATATTTATTTTAATATTGATATTTCAGTATAAATGTCATCCATTTCAAAACATTTCTTTCTTAGAAATAACTTAAATATATTTACATTTATAATTGAAGAAATATAATATTTTTGCATACTTTATTTTTTTCTAACAGTACAAATAGTACAATACTATATTTTATAGTACGGTTGGCATCCCTAACTGAGAGCCAGAGTAGCCTAACTGGCATTTAAACCAAAAGTGAGGAAGAGCTTAAAATGCATTACTCGAAACGAACCTGTAATAGCCCCAGGCACGCCCTCTTAGTTTTCTTTTACTATAATAGGTATCATCACGTATGTATGTACATAGGTGCAGATTTTTTTTTTGGATAGGCTGCTCTTGCCTCATATATGTTGACATATAGGGAAATTTTACAAACCAAAAATTTTCCATATGCGCTAACTCACTAAAACCTGGTTCACAGACCTATTGGGTCTTAAGCACATTTTCAGTTTAGACTTATTACTGGCATTTTAGATGAATTTTGAGCTTAGAATTTAATGGTAAATATTTTTCTAAAACATTTTAAACCACTACATCCCTATTTTAGGTATATTTTTTGCACTTTTCTAAAAAATGACGAAAGATACCCACCTATTAAGGAGTTGGAGGGTTAAAATGTTTCACAGAAATGTTCTCCGTCATATTTTTAATAAAACCGCTGGACACAACGTATGCCTAATATGTAAGGATCATTTTCTACGCCGATTTTCCATAAGAATGCGCAAAAGCGGGCACACTTTCTTCTTCTTCTTTTTTGGCGCTGTAACCGCCTAAGCGATTTTGGCCGAG